TCGCACCACTGCACTCCAGCCTGGGGGACAGAGTGAGACTCCGTCTCAAAAAAAAAAAAAAAAAGAAAAGAAACAAGGGCGGCAGGGGCCGCCAGACCCCCTTGCCCTGACAGACGCAGCCCTGTCCACCCGCCGCTCAGGCCAAGGCCCCCCTACTTTCTTCACGTGATCTTAACTCAGCTCTTGGCTAATTAAACGGCACCCATGGGAAGGGACGGTCTCGGATAAGCTGGCTCAGTGTTAATTGTAAAGCGGAGAAGCTGGCCGTGTACCTTGCCCCAGCAGCCACCCCCGATCATTCCTTGGGCAGGCACCTCCCAAACACCAGCCCCTTTCCCAAAGCTGCTCAGAGGCGAGCCAAGCCCCTGACTCTATGGCCTGGGCAGATGCCAACCAAGAATGAGTCACACAAAGGGACCCTCTGGCCCACAAGGAAACACAACTGCAGCTCCTGGTCAGGACCACGGCCAGCACCCAGGGGCCGGCCTCCTCCACCATCCCCAAGAGTGGCCCCAGCGCCTAGCCAGGTAGGAGGACAGAGATATCACCTACCCCAGGAAGCAGGGAGGAGGCGGCACCTACCCCAGGGAGCAGGGAGGGGGTAGCGCCTACCCCAGGCAGTAGGGAAGAGCCGGCACCTACCCCAGGGAACACAGAGGAGGGGGCACCTACCCCAGGTAACAGGGAGGAGGCAGCACCTACCCCAGGTAGCAGGGAGGAGGCAGCACCTACCCCAGTCAGTAGGGAGGAGGCAGCACCTACCCCAGGGAACAGGGCATCTGCCCCCCCACATCAACCACCTGAGCAGCAGGCAGCCAGGAGTGGGGCCCCAGAGCCTCCTTTCCCTGCGCACACCTTCTGTCTCCAGCCTGTCTCCAGCCTGGACGGGTTTCCACAACAATGTAACTTTTCAATGACAGGAAAAGTGAGCGTTAAACTTCTCTGCATATCTGGTCCTTTGGGATGAGAACATTTTTACAGCCACCAGGCAGCTTCTAGGAATTCTTCCTGCAGACCTGCACCTTGTGTGAAGATGTGCACGGAGCCCCACACGGCACCGTTTGCAGCGGCAAAGTCCTTGTACCTGCTTCAAGGTCCATCAGTGCAAACTGGTCAGAGAAGTCGTGAGCACCCGACGGACCTAGAGGGGGACAAGCAGGGAGAGGGGGCCACACGCACAAGGCAGGACACGGAGTGACTCCACACGTGTGAAAAGAAATGAGTGAACACACACAGACACACATGTGCCGTACCGCAGCCCGCATGCAGAGAACAGGTCCAGGAGAGGGGCCATGGCTGACCCAGTGAGGAGACAGGGCAGCACAGAGCGGGCAAATCATTCGGGCTGGATGTCATTTTATATATTCCAGGGTTTCCGTGGGTGTCTCTTCTGAGTGTGTGTGTGTGTGTCATGTGAATTTGACCTATTCTGGAAGAACGGGTAAGAAGGGGGTCATCTCCCAGCTACTCAGGAGGTCAAGGCAAGAGGGTCGCTCAAGCCAGGAGCTCCGGGCTGCAGTGAGCTACGATCACACCACTGCACTCAGCCTGGGCCACAGAGTGAGACCCCTACTCTTAAAATAAATAACAGAATACAGACATCAGGCCCTGCCTGGCCCTATCTGGTCTACAAAGGGGACTCCAGTCTGCCTCCTGCTCTGTCCTGGGGTGACGCTACCCAATATCCCTGCTTCCCTGACCGCCCTCCTCCGGGAGAAGGAAGCCCAGTCGGCCGAGAGCCTCCACGACAGACAAACTTTAAAGTCCCACACACGTGCCCTCTGCACCCTGAGTCCCAGTGTAGAGCGCTACACCGCACACAGGGGCAGAGACCCGTTAACCAGGCGCCCGCGGCCTCCCGCCCACAGCCCTCGGGCAGGCATCCCAGCCTCTCACCCCTGCCCGAGGCTTCTCCCCACCTCCTCCCAGGACAGGGAGTCAGGGAGAAACTGGCCCTTTGCTCCCACTCACCCTTCCCACGTGTTTTCCTCCCAGGACAGGGAGTCAGGGAGAAA